AGAGTCATCCTATATCAGACCCAAAACTTACCTATTAACATAAATTCCATTGTTAATCACAATTGTAGCAGACTAATTAAAACAATGGGATGTATAATTTAGCATTTTAGAAAGTGTCCTCTGGCTTCACAACTCCAGGGGTTCTTGGTAGACACCGATTATCTAGATCCAGCACAGTCTGGCTTTAGGCCAGGACATGGAACTGAAACAGCCTTGGTTGCCTTAGTAGATTATCTACGTTGGGAGCTAGACAGGGGGAGTGTGTCCCCGTTGGTTCTGCAGGACCTCTCAGTGGCCTTCTATACTGTTGACCACGGTATCCTTCTGGGACGCCTCGCAGGAATGGGACTTGGGGGTACTGCTCTCTAGTGGCTCCAGTCCTTCCTGGAGGGACGGTCCTAGAAGGTGTTATTGGGTGACACCTGTTCGACTCCACAACCATTGTCTTGTTGAGTCCCTCAGGGTTCAGTACTGTCCCCGATGTTGTTTAACATCTACATGAAGCTGCTGGGGGAGATCATCCAGAGTTTCAGAGTACGATGTTATCTGTACGCAGATGATGTCCAAATCTGTCACTCCTTCCCACCCGTTACTAAGGAGGCTGTTCAGACCTTGAACCGGTTCCTGGCCGCTGTGTCGGACTGGATGAGGGCTAACAAATTGAAATTGAATCCAGGTAAGACAGAGGTCCTCCTAGTCAGTCGAAAGGCTGAACAGGGCATAGGGTTTCAGTCTGTGTTGGATGGGGTTACACTCCCCCTGAAGACGCAGGTTCGCAGCTTGGGAGTGATCCTGGACTCATCGCTGAGCCTGGAACCTCAAGTTTCGGCGGTGGCCAGGGAAGCTTTTGCACAGTTAAAGCTTGTGTGCCAGCTGCACCCGTACCTTGGGAAGTCTGATCTGGCAACAGTGGTCCACGCTCTTGTTACATCCCGAATAGATTACTGCAGTGCACTCTACATGGGGCTGACTTTGAAGACTGTTCAGAAACTTCAACTAGTCCAATCCACTTCCAAACTCAATTCAAAGTGCTGGTTTTGACCTATAAAGCTCTATACGGTTCTGGCCCAGCTTACTTGTCCAAAACGCATCTCCCACTACATCCTGCCTTGCAGTTTAAGATCATCCAGGGAGACCCAGCTCCCGCTCCCACCAGCATTGCAAATACGTCTGGCGGGGACGAGAGACAGGGCCTTCTCAGCTGTAGCCCCCTGCCTGTGGAACTCACTTCCCAATGAGATAAGATCGGCTTCTTCTTTCCTGTCTTTTAGGAAGAAATTGAATTTGTGGTTCTGGGATCAGGCTTTTGGACGGCAGGCATAAATAGAGCTTTGGATATGGAATTTGACTGGAATGGTGATATGACAGTTAATACTGTTTTTATTGTTTTAATCTATTCTATTTATTGTTTTAATTGTTGTTATATTGCTTTGTTATATTTAATGGCATCAAATTGTGCCAGATGTAAGTCGTCCCGAGTCCCTCTTCAGGGGTTGAGAAGGACGAGGTAGAAATGCTGGAAATAAATAAATAAATAAATAGTTGGAACTAACAATTGGACTGCAACAGTTCCCTCCTGTTCATGCTCCACAGTTACTAATTTATTACAGATATATATTGCACTGGGGGGGGGGGGGCAGTGGGTTAAACCACTGAGCTGCCAAACTTGTTGACCAAAAGCTCACAGGTTCGAATCTGGGGAGCGGCGTGAGCTTCCACTGTCAACCCCAGCTTCTGCCAATAGTGCTCCATGCAGTCATGCTGGCCACATGACCTTGGACGTGTCTATGGACAACGCCGGCTCTTCGGCTTCGAAATGGAGATGAGAACCAACCCCCAGAGTCCAACCCCCAGAGTCGTACATGACTGGACTTAGTGTCAGGGGAAAACCTTTACCTTTATATATTACACTGAGAACAGCAGTTCTTAAAAGCCTTATTGTTCTTCGGTTTTATTAATTCACTTTTGTTTGGTTGCATACTGCAAGTTGCTTCTGGTGTGAGACAATCAGCTGTCTACAGCTGATTCCTAATCTATCTAAAATGCAGACATGTGCATTTAATTTTAAGAACAGACAAGCATCTTGAGTTCTGAGGATTATCTGAGAAAGAATCCCGCTGGAGCATTGCAGCAAACTCAGAGACCTGGAGGTCACTCTGGATAGTGCTCTGGCTTACAAGAGGCACTGCTTGACTATCAAGCAAAAATGGGTGCCAGAGATAATATCATATGAAAGCTGACTGGCACTACATGGGGATCACAACCAGACATAGTGAAGACATCTGCCCTTGCACTTTGCTACTCTGCTGCTGAGTATGCATGTCCAATGTGGAACACATCTCACCATGTTAAAACAGTGGAATTAGCTCTTAATGAGAAATGTCACATTATGACAGGATGTCTGCGCCCTACACTACTGGAGAAACTATACTGTTTAGCCGGTATTGCACCACCTGATATCTGCTGGGAAGTAGCAACCAATAGTGAAAGGACCAAGGCAATGACAACTCTGGCTCATCCTCTGTTCAGATATCAGACAACACACCAATGCCTTAAATCAAGAAACAGCTTCCTAAGATCCATAGAGATACTTGCAGGAATACCTCAGCAAGTGAGAGTCCAAAAGTGGTAAACTCAAACGCGGAACCTCGATTGGTGGCTGATACCAAATGAGAGACTCCTTCCTGGGCACACAGAAAACTGGGCAACTTTGGGCTGAACAGACTACGCTCTGGCACCACGAGATGCAGAGCCAACCTTAAGAAATGGGGCCACAAAGTGGAGTCCATGACATGAGAGTGTGGAGAAGAGCAAGCCACAGATCATTTACTACAATGCAGCCTGAGCTCTGCCACATACACAATGAAGAACCTTCTTACAGCAACACCAAAGGCACTCCAAGTGGCCAGCTTCTGATCAAAGTACATTTAGCATCATGACAAGTTTTTAACTTTGTTGGTGAGTTTTTAAAAATACATTATAACTGTATTCTCAATTTGCTTCTGACACGATAAATAAACAAATTCACCTTTAAAGCCATCTAAAACCCCATATAATGCAGTTCAATGCATGTCAAAATGCATGATGAAATTGTCTCAGGGCCCTTCCACATGGCCGGATAACCCATAATATCAAGGCAGATAATCCACCATATCTGCTTTGAACTGGGATATCTGAGTCCACACTGCCGTACAATTCAGTTCAATATGGATTTTAGACAGATGTGTGGAAATGGCCTTTTAAGGCAGAGTAGATGGGGCCTATACACTTTTTCTCACAAAAAAAAAAGCATACTAATGCTGCTTACTCGCCTGTTTTCAAAATAAATATTCCTTGCAGGGAAGTTTCTCTAACTTCTGTAGCCATGCATTCCTGCAACTTTTTCATCATTTTGCCCACTCCTGCAACTTTTCCAATTATATGATTTTTTTTTTCTCCCTAGGAGCAGCTATCAGAACCATACGCATTATTTGGCATGTGGCAGATCCCATTGCTTTCTTCACCAGATGGCACACATATAATTATAATATAATTTATTATCACATACCCAGCCAGGCCTCAAGGCAAAAAGGAAGAGGATGGGGGTGATGATGGCCCCAAAGTCATCAAACATCCTGTGCATTCCTCTCTTCTCCAACTTTTGAGCAGTTCGGTGCTCCAGCCCATCTTTAAATAGGGTTGTGCCTGCGCATGAGTGTCAACCTGGAAAACAGCCCAATGTCAGTGCAATAGGAATGAACAGAGAGTTGTTTACTCCTCAGTTCTCCTCCTCTTATTCAGAATTCCAATAAAATCTGGTATATAGACATGACATGAAATGGGAATTGGAATAGAAGGGAGATCAAGATCTCTGGTCAAGCCCTTTATTTTCCTTCAATTCCTAAACTGTGAAGGCTGGAATGAGCCTGGAGATTGTCTCCTTCCCCCTTTAAGAGCTAGATGTGTCAAGTATTTTGTGGACATTGAGCAAATTTCAAAAGAAACTGGCTACCACTAGAATCAACCTACACCAGAGGAGCCAGTGATAAGAAACGTCCAATATTTTTTCAGAATTTGAGCACCTGTTCTAAATCAATGCAGAACCAAATTGCTAAATGACCAAAAAAAAAACCCCATTGTTTTCCAAGTGTGATGGTAGGAAATAAGCTTGTGCATTATGGCTGAAACTCCATCTGTTTCTGCTGGCTTGATTTTGGAAGCAACTTGTATCTGTTTTTGTGCGCCCTCTGAAAATGGGCGGATATCTGAATAGCTGTTTTTGGTCTGCAGTCAGAAAATGCAGCTAGATCCAGCCCACTGGCAGCAATGGGGAGGGGAGGGCTGCCCAGGCTTCCCTTCCCACTATTTTTAGGGCTATCAGGATGAAAATGACCACACTTGGAGGACACATCTACCACTGTTAGCCCACACAGTTTCATAACGTTTGGATCATCCCCTGATTTTGAGGAATCTCTTTTTCTTTTTAGAAATAAAACCTCCTTTTAAAAATTCCCCCAAAGGTATCGATCTCCCCGCATTATTATTATTAAAACAAGAGATAAAATACAATTGGATCTGTAATTGATTAGCAGATGAACCCAGGGGGTGCTCACCAATGCTTCCACTTCGTCCTGGAAAGAAGTGACAAGCGGAGTGCCGCAGGGTTCCGTCCTGGACTCGGTCCTGTTCAACATCTTTATTAATGACTTAGGTGAATTCTTAGAACAAAATGAAGTTCAACAGGGACAAATGCGAGATACTCCACTTGATGTCGAATTCACCCCAGACCCCTACTTTCCAGCTGATCTGACCAGCTGCAGGGAGTTCCGCAGTTCCTGGATGCTTCATTGGTGAGATGTGCCCCAGCAGCAGCCTCAACCAAGGACTCTTTGCAACCTTGAGCTCCCTCCTTTCGCTTTTTTCCCCAGCCCAAATATTGTAACAAAACCCTTAATAAAGACTAATTTAATTGTAACCTTCACCTCTTCATAGTGATACATTGTGTCCTTTTCCTGACTCACCAGTATGTAATGCATGAATTCACCCTTTTCCGGGCCGTGGGTAGCCACTGGCCCACCTGGGATGCCTTCCAGGCGACCCAGGGAGGCCGAATCTTCAAACTGCGGATACAGAAACCCCTCGGGCCCCTGTATCCGCAAGTTGATGAAACGTCTCCATTTTGGTGCCATATATTTCCTAGCTGAATTCTAACACTATCTGCTATCTCGCTTTTTGAATTTCAGGCTCCTGCGCTCAGGGAATAATCTTTTTATTTTTGAGAATATATTTTAAAGGAAAACAGCCGATTGTCAAATCGAGCCTTTTTTCTGCTGCGCTGCTCCCGCCACTGCTGCTTCGTCGTCCTTCTGGAGCCCCAGGACCGGGGACTTGATGCGGTCACCCTATGAGGCCATCGGGGATTGGATCTGTCACCTGGCTCCAGCCCTTGGAAGGAGTTATAATTCTCCGAGGACAAAAGGACAAGCTTCAGCCCCAGTGATGCAGAGCTCCATATCTTGGCTCAGTGGAATCACCAAGCCTCTCCTTATGATTTTTGAACCTTTTTACCCCCACATCAAGACTTTTCTCCCTTTAAGGACATACTTTCATCTATGGATTTCCCTATAATGAACTATGGACACATATTGAGCCATGATCGAGGCTCTTATAAATTTTTCTATGGGATGCTGGGGGGGAGGGATAAATGCGTATATTTTCTGTATCATGATTTCTATATTTTCATATTTCTCCCTGTGTATCTGACCTTTTCCTGACCCTTTTGCCCCATTCCCCTCTATTGAAAAATGTATAAAAAATACAAGGCAGCCAGCCATCCGTGATCCCGGAAGGAAGGAAATCTCCAGTAGAAAAGAGCCTTATCAAAAGACACAATTGCATGGACAATAGAGGAGGATCGTGACCTCTGGGCTCAGAGTTGGTCCACCAAAGGAAACGGTCATTTGGCAATTATGATCATATCTCAATTGGATGGAGGGGGCCTTCGGAAAGCCACACCTCGTCCTAATCTGTCACCCATTCAACTTTTCTTTCACTGAAACTTCTACCAAAGTTCCCTCATTGTTCCCATATCTCGGCACTGGAAAAATCCAGATTTTGGCAGGATCGCCAAACATCAATGTTTATTGCAGCCACTCAGTGACAATTGCCAGACTGGCTCGCAGGCCCTCAGGACTCGCTGGTTGCTTTTACATCCTGAAATCTCCATAATCCACTCAAGAACACATGGTTTCTCCTTGTCCCGCCTCCCTCTCTCCTGATACGTCAGGACGCTGGCGGCAGGAGCCCAGCGATTGGCCCAGGCGCTCGGGAGGCAGCCAAGCCTCCTCCCAGCTGTGGAGGCGTCACCCAATCACCGTTGAGCTGGCAGAGGGGAGGGGAGCGGGAAATTCCAAACTGACAACCCTGTTTTTGTATTAAAAAGGCTTTTATTTGTACACATGTTATGCTTAGCTTGGCGAAATATTGCTGCTTTGCAACCTTTCCAGCTGGATCGCAATAAAACCATCTTGGTGGCTCTTCCTTCAACTTTGGTGAGATTCTTTTTGGGAACTTAGGGAAAAATCTTTTAAATTGTGGCTTCTCTTGCTCACCACTCTAGCGAGCCCTTTTTGGTGGGTCCACAGGGTTTCTCCTTCAGGGCCAGACCCTTTTAAATTCTTCCTCGACTTCACACTTAGGCAGAAAAAAAATGAAATGTAAAGATACAGAATGGGGGAAGTGTGGCTTGAGAGCAGTACATGTGAAAAAGATCTTGGAGTCCTCGTGGACAACAAGTTAAGCATGTCAACAATGTGATCGGTGGCAAAAAAAAAAGCCAATGGGATTTTGGCTTGCATCAATAGGAGTATAGTGTCTAGATCCAGGGAAGTAATGCTACGCCCCTATTCTGTCTTGGTTAGACCACACCTGGAATATTGTGTCCAATTCTGGGTACCACAATTGAAGAGAGACATTGACAAGCTGGAATGTGTCCAGAGGAGGACAACTCAAATGATCATGGGTCTGGAGAACAAGCCCTTTGAGGAGCGGCTTAAAGAACTGGGCATGCTTAGCCTGAAGAAGAGAAGGCTGAGCATAAAGACATAATAGCCATGTATAAATATGTGAGAGGAATTCATAGGGAGAAGGGAGCAAGCTTGTTTTCTGCTTCCCTGGAGACTAGGACACGGAACAATGGCTTCAAACTACAAGAAAGGAAATTCCATCTGAACATTAGGAAGAACTTCCTGACTGTGAGAGCCGTTCAGCAGTGGAACTCTCTGCCCCGGAGTGTGGTGGAAGCTCCTTCTTTGGAAGCTTTTAAACAGGGGCTGGATAGCCATCTGTCAGGGGTGATTTGAATGCAATATTCCTGCTTCTTGGCAGGGGGTTGGACTGGATGGCCCATGGGGTCTCTTCCAACTCTATGATTCTATGAAAAGACATAAAACAAGATACATAGAGTTGAAATACAAATTTCAAATCCACTGATAAAATGCAGATGAAAATTAAAATTTACAATTTAAAATTACGATGATAATGAATTATTTATCTCCCGCTTTTTCCCTCCATTAAGAGGAGCCCATGGATACTGAGTGGGGGGCAGCGTATGGAGGCCAGGCTATCCACGGGGTTCAAAGGTGACTCAGGTTTAGTTGGAGAGAAAGGAGGATACATTTGGGGGCAAAAGAAGGGAGGGAGCCCCGCTCCAGGGGAGCCATGGGGGCAGATGGTTACCAGGGCCAGCTGCAAGGGGTGAAAGGGGAAGAGAAAGACACAGAAGCCAAAGAAGATACAAAGAATCAAATATAGAGGGTAAGGTCATCCGGAGTTTCGGAGTTGGATGCCATCTCTATGCAGATGACACACAACTCTACTACTCCTTTCCACCTAACTCCAAGGAAGCCCCTCGGGTGCTGGAAGAGTGCATGGCCACTGTGGCTGTCTGGATGAGGATGAACAAGCTGAAGATTAATTCCGACAAGACAGAGGTCCTTCTGGTCAATCATAAACCGGATCGGGGTATAGGGTGGCAACCTGTGCTGGACGGGGTTACACTCCCCCTGAAGTCACAGGTCCGCAGTTTGGGAGCCCTCTTGGACTCATCACTTACACTTGAGGCTCAGGCGTCGGCGGTGTCCGGGAGGGCTTTTGCACAATTGAGACTCGTGCGCCAACTGCAACCGTACCTCGTGAAGGCTGATCTGGCCTGGGTGGTCCATGCCTTGGTCACCTCCAGATTGGACTACTGCAATGCGCTTTATGTGGGGCTGCCCTTGAAAACAGCCCGGAAATTCCAACTGGTCCAATGGGCGGTGGCCAGGTTGTTAACTGGTGCTCCTTACAGAGGTCAACCCTCCTGTTTAAGGAGCTCCATTGACTGCCGTTCATTTTCCGATCCCAATTCAAGGTGCAGGTGCTTACCTACAAAGCCCTAAACGGTTTGAGACCCGCCTACCTGCGTGACCGCATCTCCATATATGAACCCACACGATCCCTCTGTTCATCTGGAGAGGCCCTGCTCACCATCCCACCTGCGTCGCAAGCGCATTTGGTGGGGACGAGGGACAGGGCCTTCTCTGTGGTAGACCCCCAACTCTGGAACTCTCTCCCCAAGGACATCAGACAAGCCCCAACGTTGGCAGTCTTTAGGAAGAGCTTGAAGACGTGGCTGTTCCAGTGTGCCTTTCCAGAATAGGAAACTCCTAGCATCATGTCCCAAATGCACTTTATTAGAGATTTAAGATTGTCTGCACACCGCACTTACCTCTAAAAACCTATACATTTCACCTGTCATGTCCAGCACTTTTTAAATTTTACTCATTACATTTGGCCTGGCCTTTAGTTTTAAATGCATCGTGGTGTTATTGTTCTAATGTTTATTGTTATTGCTTTAATGTTTATTGTTTTGCTTTGAGTTTTATTGTTGTATTTGTTATGCTGTTGTTTTATTGAGGGCCTTGGCCTTTTGTAAGCCGCACCGAGTCCTTCGGGAGATGTTAGCGGGGTATAAATAAAGATAATAATAATAATAATAATAATAATAATAATAATAATAACATACCATGGTGTGTTATTTATTTAGCAGTTATGCTGTAATAAGTGGGGAAGAAAGATTGTACCCAGGGTGTTTGGTAGCTGCTGCTGGACTCCTTCATATCTCTGATCGCAGAATCCATTCCCGTGGGGCTCCAGGCTCCCGCTTTCCGCATCTCTTCCCGCCACAGCTTCAACCTTAATGTTATTTATAATTTGATCTTGCTCAACATCAATATTTAAAATCCCACAGCGAAAAACCATTAAAACATATTCTAAGTAAAAAACCACAGCAGCCCCTGAATTGTGCAGCACGACATAATTTAAGCTAATTACTATCATCCACCAGGATTGTGAATATAATAAATACAATTCAGAAGACATGAATAAAAGTTCTGAAGGGGGGAGGGGGAGCAAGCTAATAAGACAGTTTTTGATGTTGTTGTTGCTCCAGGAAGACTTTGATCATTTTTGACATCTTTCTGTATGTAATTTCCCTTCTAAAGCAGATTCAAATTGCCGCAAACCTGGGTGTTGGCTTCCTTTGATCATTCAGAGCCATTTAGCCATAATTTCTGCATTTCTTGGCTTGTATTATAAACAACAGAAAAAAAGTTGAGTGGGCAGTCATGTCAACCACATCAGGCAAAGTTCCCTGTTACTCCTAGGATAATTTTAGGGAATCCTTAATATTCGTAATCCTTATGGCTATTGGGGTCCTTCTCCTTGTCATGCCCAGTTGAGCTTTTTCTCTTTTTTCAACCTAGAGCTAAAATAAAATAATGCAAAAACAGTAGCATTTTAAAAGCATCCATTTCTATAGCCACTAAGAATTTATGTGTATATAGGAAGCAATCGCGTGTGTGTGTTCAAGTTGCCTACTGACTTAATGGCAAACCCATGAATTTCACAGGGTTGCCTTACTCATAGGTTTCCTCTGGTATTGCATATCTCTGTGTCTATATATATATATAAAGGGTATTCATTGGTGGTCTCCCATCGAAGTACTAACCAGGGTTGTCTTGTTTAACTTCCAAGATTAGTCATGCATCTTGTGTCTTTATGGTATTTAGGGCTAGGCAATCTTATACTAAAAGTCAAATTAGACAGTACTTTCAATATACACACAATGTGCAACCAGAAATGGCTCAATCTTTCAAATCTTTTTTAAAAAATAATTTATTGATTATTTTTTCACACACTCCTAATAGAGCTGTTGAAAAAACCATCACTGGACCCCACTCAATTTGTCAACTATCGGCCTGTTTCCAATCTCCCCTTTTTGGGCAAAGTCCTGGAACGTGTGGTGGCCTCACAACTCCAGGTATTCTTGGAAGACATGGATTATCTGGATTCGGCACAGTCTGGCTTTAGACAGGGACATGGAACCGAGACAGCCTTGGTCGCCGACCACGGTACCCTTCTGGGACGCCTCGCTGGAATGGGCCTTGGGGGGCACTGTTTTACAGTGGCTCCGGTCCTTTCTGGAGGGTCGCACCCAGAAGGTGTTCTTGGGAGACACCTGTTCAACCTCACATCCTTTGTCTTGTGGGGTTCCTCAGGGCTCAATACTGTCTCCCATGTTGTTCAACATATACATGAAGCCGCTGGGGGAGATCATCCGGAGTTTCGGGGTGCGGTATCATCTGTACGCAGATGATGTCCAACTCTGTCACTCCTTCCCACCCGCTACTAAGGAGGCTGTCCAGGTCCTGAACAGATTGGCTGCTGTGACAGTCTGGATGAGGGCGAACAAATTGAAATTGAATCCAGACAAGACAGAGGTCCTCCTAGTCAGTCAAAAGGCTGAACAGGGCATAGGGTTACAGTCTGTATTGGATGGGGTTACACTGCCCCTGAAGACACAGGTTTGCAGCTTGGGTGTGATCCTGGACTCATCACTGAGCCTGGAAACCTAGGTTTCAGCGGTGACCAGGGGAGCATTCGCACAGTTAAAACTTGTGCGCCAGCTGCGCCCGTACCTTGGGAAGTCTGACTTGGCCACGGTAGTCCACGCTCTAGTTACATCCCGTATCGACTACTGCAACACTCTCTACGTGGGGTTGCCTTTGAAGACGTCCGGAAGCTTCAACTAGTCCAATGAACGGCAGCCAGGTTGTTAACAGGAACGGCGCTCAGGGAGCATACAACCCCCTTGTTGCACCAGCTCCACTGGCTGCCAGTTTGCTACCGGGCCCAATTCAAAGTGCTGGCTTTGGCCTATAAAGCCCTAAACAGTTCTGGCCCAACTTGTCCGAACGTATCTCCCTTTACGAACCACTGAGGACTTTAAGACCATCTGGGGAGGCCCTGCTCTTGGTCCCGCCTTTGTCACAAGCACGTTTGGCGGGGACGAGAGAAAGGGCCTTCTCAGTGGTGGCCCCTTGGCTATGGAATGCCCTCGCTAGAGAGATCAGATCTGCTCCCTCCCTCTTGATGTTTCAGAGGCAAGTTAAAACGTGGCTAATCGAGCAAGCGTTTACAAATACAGAATAGCTAATATAGGAAATCGAATGACCTGACAATGGAATTGGACAATGCTTGAGAATAATGAGACGCTGATGATGTTGCTTTTATTGCTTTTGTGATGTATAATACTGTTTAATGTTTTTTATCTATATTATGTTTTATGTATACTGGTTTGTTGGAAACCGCCTTGAGTTGCCAATTGGCTGAGAAAGGTGGTATACAAATACAGTAAATGAATAAATAAATAATAAATAGAGACATCAAAATCTTATGCAACCTTTTAAGACCTGTGATTTTTTTTTAGCTCAGAATAAGTTGTAACTGTGAATTTTAATACTGTTAAGTTTAATTCTGTTTTAATGTTTGCATATTTGTATACTTTAAATTATGTTGCCTTTTAATGTGAGTCCCCTTCGGTAGAGATAAAGCAGGATTTAAATAAACATAAACATAATAATAATAATATTTTAATATTACTGCATAAATGTAGAAGAAGAACAGAACAGAAGAGAAAACTGGCAAAAGAAGGCACTCCATGGACAGTTTCTTAGAAAAATTGAGAGCCAAATTGACAAAGAAAAAACATGGCTGTGACTCACAAATGGAACTCTGAAAAAGGAGACGGAGTGCCTGATTCTGGCAGCCCAAGAACAAGCCATTCGAACCAATGCCATCAAAGCCAGAATTTAAAAGTCGACAACAGATCCCAAATGTAGACTCTGCAAGGAAGCAGATAAAACAATAGATCCTCGGCTGCTGCAAGAAGATCACGCAGACAGACTACAAACAGAGGCATAAGACCATTGCTCAGATGTTTCATTGGAACTTGTGCCACAAATACCATCTGCCTGCAGCAAAGAACTGATGGGATCACAAGCCAGAAAGAGTTACAGAGAATGAACACGCCAAACTCCTCTGGGACTTCCGGATTCAGACAGACAGAATTTTGGAGCATAATACTCCTGACCTCACAATCGTGTTAAAAAACAAAGTATGGATCGTTGATGTCGCAATCCCAGGTGACAGCAGGATTGCAGAGAAACAACTAGAAAAGCTAACACAATATGAGGATTTAAAGATCGAACTGCAAAGACTCTGGCACAAGCCAGTCAAGGGGGTTCCAGTAGTGATTGGCACACTGGATGCAGTGCCTAGAGACCTTGGCCTTCACTTAAACACAAACGGCACTGACAAAATGACCATCTGCCAGCTGCAAAAGGCCACCTTTTACGCATTATTCGCCGATACATCACACAGTCCTAAACACTTGGGAAGTGTCTGACGTGTGATCCAATTCAACAGCCAGCAGAGTGTCTGCTGTGGACTCATCTTGTTGTGTATCAAATAATAATAATAATAATAATAATAATAATAATAATAACAACAACAATTTAATATTACTGAACAACTGTAGGAGTGTATGAAAAAAATCCATTGACTGGGTTGCTGTGAGCTTTCTGGGCTGTCTGGCCATGTTCCAGCAGCATTCTCGCCTGACATTTTGCCTGCATCTGTGGCTAATGGCATCTTCAGAGGGTCTGTTGGCAGTGAAGCAAGTGGAGTGTATAATGTCCAGCATGGGATGAAGAACCCTTTTCTATTGAAGCAAGTGTAAATGTTGTAATTAGTAAGGTTAAATTAGAATTGAGTAGCCATGAAACTGCAAAGTCAATCAGTGAGAGCATCTCCATAGAGGTAGCTTGGCTGTTGTTTGCCTGGAGGCAGCCTTTGTTTAACTGGCACTTGATTGTTTGCTATCTGTTCTCCTGTTTCTAAGTGCTGTTCTTTGAAATTATTATTATAATATTTATTTATACCCCGCTTTATCTCTCCCAAAGGAGACTCAAGCAGCACCTCTCACCCGGCACCATACTAAAGGCCAAATAATAAAGAGTTTATTGAATAAATATTATAAAGGCGGGGGGGGGGGGGGGGGGGGGGTTATATCCAAAAGTGGCAATCAGGAAATAAGCAGCAATATATGAAACTAGTCAGAGTTCAATAAGAATCAGAAAGCCAAGAATACGTCACAGGAACTAGAAATCCATAACACATACAAAATCCAGGAACATGAACCCAGGAATCTCTTCCAGGCAAAACTCTTCCAAGGTACATAAACAAAGGCAAGTACATGAAGCAAGAATCTTGACAATACAATACCAATGGTCTTGAGAACTTGGTAACATGAACTGTTTTCCCTTTAGCAAAGTTGTCTCCTCTGAAATGCCTGGAACTGAACACCTCATTTAAGCCTGTTCTGGCTCCCATGAAGTCATGTAATGAGAGCACCTGCTTGTCCAATTTTAATGGATTAATTTCAATTTGTGCAACCCGAGGATGTTGACAAGATTCTTAGAGAGGCGAGGGCAACCATATACATCCTGGAACCCTGCTCATCCCAGCTGATAAAGGAAACCCGAGGGGGTTTGGCAGAGTGGATAAAGGTGGTGCTTAACGCCTCCCTTCGAAAAGGCAAAATTCCAGTGAGCTTAAAAGCTATGATAAAACCGCTGTTGAAAAAACCTCATTGGCCCCACCGATATAAACAACTTTTTGGGCAAAGTATTGGAAGTGTGGTTGCCTCACAGCTCCAGGGGTTCTTGGACGAAACTGACTATTTGGATTCATCGCAGTCTGGTCATGGAACTGAGACAGCCACGGTCGACTTAGTGGATGATCTCTGCAGAGAGCTTGACAGGGGGAGTGC